ACCAGTTGGGAATAAGCAATCTCAGCAAATGTACAAGAACAGAATTTATAAGACAAACTGTCTCTCAGACACATTGATCAAACAGACTCAGGATTGAGATTACTCACTCAAAACGCTCAACTACCATGGAACTGAACAAACTGCTCCTGAATGGACTTACTGAGGTACTAACGAAATGAAGGCAGAAAAAAGATTTTGTTCGAACCTGTGGGACAACAAAGCACACATACCAGAATCTCTGGGACCATTTTAGAAGCAGTGGTGTAGGGGGAAATTTATAGCACTAAATGCCACAAGGAAAGCAGGACAGATCTAAAATTGACCACCTACATCATATTAAAAGAACTAGGGAAGCAAGAGCAAACAACATTCGAAAGCTAGCAGACGGCAGAATAACTAAGATCAGAGCAGAACTGAAGGGGAGATGGACAGCAAAAAAACCTCAAAAAACCAGTGAAATTCCAGGACTTGGTTTTTGAAAAAATACAAACAAATTGCAAGGACCTTAGCAAGACTTAATAAAGAAGAAAGAGAGAAAGATCAATCGACCAATAAAAAAACTGGCATAAGAGGATATCGCCCAGACCAATCCACAGAATACAGGCTACCATCAGGAGAATACTATAAACACCCTATGTGGTCAATTTTGGAATAAGTGTGATGTGGTGCTGAGAAGAATATATATTCTGTTGATTTGGGGTGGAGAGTTCTGTAGATGTCTATTAGGTCCACTTGCTGCAGAGCTGAGTTCAACTCCTGGATATTCTTGCTAACTTTCTGTCTCGTTGATCTGTCTAATGTTAACAGTGGGTTGTTAAAGTCTCCCATTATTATTGTGTGGGAGTCTAAGTCTCTTTGTAGGTCTCTAAGGACTTGCTTTATGAACCTGGGTGCTCCTATATTGGGTGCATATATATTTAGGATAGTTGGCTCTTCTTGTTGAATTGATAGGGTGGGGAACATCACACACCAGGGCCTGTCGTGGGGTTGGGGGAGGAGGGAAGGATAGCATCAGGAGATATACCTAATGTAAATGACGAGTTAATGGGTGCAGCACACCAACATGGCATATATATACATACGTAACAAACCTGAATGTTGTGCACATGTACCCTAGAACTTAAAGTATAATAATAAAAAAAAAATCCATAACATAAATGATTTTATTTAGAGGAGAAACTTTCAGAGAGAACACTAAGAAAAATCTTTTGTATTTTCAGAAATAACTCCATGCCTCTTCTTCCTACCTCTTAAAAAGGAAAAAAAAAAGTCGTTGGTTTCAAAGAGGCTCTCCAAGCTCCATTATTTTCTTATTTATTTATTTGTTTATTTATTTTATTTATTAATTTTTTGGAGACAGAGTCTCATTCTGTTGCCTAGGCTGGAGTGTAGGCACAATCTCGGCTCACTACAAACTCCTCAAGAGATTCTCATGCCTCAGCCTCCCAAGTAGCTGGGATTACAGGCATGTGCCACCACGCCTGGCTAATTTTTGTATTTTTAGGAGAGGTGGGGATTCACCGTGTTGGCCAGGATGGTCCCAAACTCCTGGCCTCAAGTGATCTGCCCACCTCAGCCTCCCAAAGTGCTGAGATTACAGGCATGAGCCATGGCACCCAGCAAAGCTGTGTTACTTTTTAAAGGCAGGCTATATAATCATTTGTTGCTACCATACTGAGCCTATGCCACTCTGAAAGGATTAGGAGCTAAAAATTAACAGGAACCAAAAGCACCAACATTATAGAGGGCAGATACCATACTTTATGATCTACTAAGTGAATTACACCTTCACTCCAAAAAAAAAAACACAAATATTTGATCTTCAAAACATGAACAGAGGTGTCCATGGGTATCAATGAAATCCACGCAACCTTTTGGATTTCATTTTAAACCTTACATTCAAAACCAGAGTCACACTGCCCTTTCCTATCTATCCACAAAACTCTCGTAGACAAAAAAGAAGCAAGCAAAAAATAGTATTAATAATAATAATCATCATCATCACAATAATGTAAGTCAAATATAATCAATATTAGAGTATCTGAGGTTGGGTGTGGTGGCTCACACCTGTAATCCCAGTACTTTGGGAGGCCAAGGCAGGAGGATTTCTTGATGACAAGAGTTCAAGACCAGCCTGGGCAACAAGCAAGAACCCCATCTCTACAAAAAAATTAGCCGAGTGTAGTGGCATGCACCTTTAGTCCCAGCTACTCAGAAGGCTGAAGCAGGAGGATTGCTTGAGCTCAGGAGCTCAGGAGTTCAAGGCTGCAGTGAGCCATAATTGCACCACCATATTCTAGTCTGGGCAACAGAGAGAGACCTTGTCTCAAACACACACACACACACACACACACAGACACACATACACACACAAAATAAGACTGTCTGGATCATTTTCTCCTAGCTTCATTTTGAAACTGAAAAAGGCTGGAAATTTTTTTTCCTGCTCTTATAAAGACCTACTAACTATTTATTGTAAGATATGAGACTAGTGTTCTACATATAATAAATCAAAGAATGGCAAAGATAAGAGAATCATCTCTATACCTAATGAACATGAAAACAACACTGTACCTTCTGTATCAGACTAGTGCCTCCTGCAAATGCAGCTCCATTTTCTTCTGCTATTTTCACCTCTGATGCATTCTACCAAAACACACAGTTTGAACATCAGTCATTAATTTTAAATACATTCAGTCTGCTTTGAAGTATGTTGTATCACAGTTCAAAGTACAAATTGTAGCTTTTGTTTTTAATTGAAAATGTGGGCCGGGCGCGGTGGCTCAAGCCTGTAATCCCAGCACTTTGGGAGGCCGAGACGGTCGGATCACGAGGTCAGGAGATCGAGACCATCCTGGCTAACATGGTGAAACCCCGTCTCTACTAAAAAATACAAAAAACTAGCCGGGCGAGGTGGCGGGCGCCTGTAGTCCCAGCTACTCGGGAGGCTGAGGCAGGAGAATCCTTGGACCCAGGATGGGGAGGATGTAGTGAGCCAAGATTGTACCACTGCACTCCAGCCTCAGTGGCAGAGTGAGACTCCATCTCAAAAAAAAAAAAAAAGAAAAAGAAAAGAAAAGGCAAACCAGGTGCAGTGAGTCACACCTGTAATCCCAACACTTTGGCAGGCTGAGTCAAGAGGATCGCTTGAAGCCAGGAGTTCCAGACCAGCCTGAGCAACAAAGTGAGACCCCCATCTCTACAAAAAAAAACTTAAAAATTAGCCCGCCATGGTGGGCGTGGTGGCTCATGTCCATAATCTCAACACTTTGAGGCCAAGGCAGGCGGATCACCTAAGGTCAGGAGTTGGAGACCAACCTGACCAATATGGAGAAATACTGTCTGTACTAAAAATACAAAATTAGCCAGGTGTGGTGGTGTATGCCTGTAATCACAGCTACACGGGAGGCTGAGGCAAGAGAGTCGCTTGAACCCGGGAGGCAGAGGTTGCGGTAAGCCGAGATTGTGCCATTGCACTCCAGCCTGGGCAACAAGAGCAAGACTCCATCTCAAAAAAGAAAAAACATTAGCCTGCCATATAGTGGCTAGCACCTGTAGTTCCAGCTACTCAGTAGGCTAAGGCAGGCAGGAGAATTGCTTGAGCCCAGGAGTCTGAGGCTATAGTGAGTATGACTGCACCACTGTACTCCAGCCTGGACAACAGACCAAGACCCTGTCTCAAAAAAGAACTGAATGCATCACTTTTCAATTAAAAGAATCAGGGATATTACATTCAGAACAATTATAGTTTGTGGATGATTAAAAAAGAAATTCATAAACACATTAGAAACAAACATTTACAAATACAGGACAGTTTTATGAAGACTAGATACTTTCAGCTAGGAGTGCAGTGGCTCACGCCTGTAATCTCAGCACTTTGGGAGGCCAAGGCGGGCGGATCACGAGCTCAGGAGATCAAGACCATCCTGGCTAACACGGTGAAACCACTTCTGTACTAAAAATACAAAAAAAATTAGCCAGGTGTGGTGGCAGGCGCCTGCAGTCCCAGCTACTCGGGAAGCTGAGGCAGGACAATGGCATGAACCTGGGAGGTGGAGCTTGCAGTAAGCCGAGATTGCGCCACTGCACTCCAGGCTGGGCGACTGAGCAAGATTCCGTCTCAAAAAAAAAAAAAGACTAGATTCTTTTAAAAGTTGTGGTTTCTAAGGCACCACAGCACTAAATGGTTCCACTGATTTAAAATCATCTTATTGTTATTTGGGGAGGGAAGTTTGAACACAAAGCAGGAGTTAGTAGGATAAATTGATAAATTCCACTCTTTTCTTCAGTTTCTTGTAAGAAACATAATGTAGCATTCTGGTAATGATGAAACTAATGTTCTAATCTAGCTCTTTCTCAAGCTAATAACATAACCTCAAACAAATCATCTAACTGTTTTGAGCTCCAAAAGGGGAAAATAGGACTAGGTGAATGTTAGGATTTTCTCTAACTCCATTTATTCAGGGTGCTAATCATTGGTTAATAATTAAGTGATCTCTAAATAATAATAATTAAGTGAGCTCTAAAAAAACTTAAATGATATAAATAGTTGATGGGAGTTACTTACCTCTGTAAATACAGCAACTTTATTGATTTCCGAAGCAAATGGGTATGGCAAACTAAGAACACTGGTAAATGGCGCCACGTTTTTCTAAACACGCAACAAGGAAAAATAATTATGTAAAGTTAATCTTTTCTGTCTCTCACATACTCTATATAAAACAAGAACGGACATGTTTTGTTTTCAGTGTTCTGATTCTACTCTATGTTCTTCCATTAATTCAGAACTATTCATTGATTACTATTCATGAATTACTATTCATCGATTACAATTTAAAGCACAAGAGATTATATTTCTTTTTCAAGAAACTTTTTCAAGATTATATTTTTTTGAGAATAAAAAACTAAAATCTTTTTCCAGCTTCATAATCCCACGCCACTTGGCTTCTATCTCTACATCATTCATCACAGTCTCTCAAATATTATGAAATGTGTTTGCATAACATCTTCCCCAGTACTAGTACAATGCTTTCCATCTGATGAATAATAAATGTTTGCTACCTTCAATTAAATTTGTTTTAAACCCATGTAATCTTCTGACACCATCAGGGAGACATGAATACAGCTATACATGCTGAACAATAGACAATATCCAGCTGATCTGCCCAGTAGGTCACCCCCAATTGCCATCACTGGCTTGAAACTATCAGGAATTGTAAACCCTAAACCCAAGACAAAATGTCAAGCCTAAAGGGATCTTCTGAGTTGACTCTATTTTTGAAATAACCTAGACCATCACCACTTTCAGATTTATTTAGAAAGTCAATTGGAAAATCCTAAATAAACAATGGCATGCATTTGAGGCACGCTAATATAGGTGGAGATTTTACAGGACCTCTAAACTAATCTGTCCAGTCATTTTGACCAGAAACTATAGAGGCCTGAGGCCTAGATCTCTTAGGGAGACTTTACAGAGAAACAAGTTCTAGGCCCTCCAAAGTTTTGTTGCAGCCTTAAGGTTTGGAAGAAAAGGTGGTTGTTCCCGTAATAAAACTGATTGAAAGATCAATATTTTTAGAAAAACCTTATTTTGAGTAGAAACATCCTCCTGGGGATTTCTTTGCAGACAAGGAGGAACAAACTCTTTCTTTTTTTTTTGAGTCGGAGTCTTGCTCTGTCGCCTAGGCTGGAGTGCAGTGGCGTGATCTCAGCTCACTGCAAGCTCTGCCTCCCAGGTTCACGCCATTCTCCTGGCTCAGCCTCCCGAGTAGCTGGGACTATAGGCACCTGCCACCACGCCTGGCTAATTTTTTTTTTTGTATTTTTAGTAGAGATGGGGTTTCACTGTGTTAGGCAGGATGGTCTCGATCTCCTGACCTGATGATCTGCCCGCCTCAGCCTTTCAAAGTGCTAGGATTACAGGTGTGAGCCACTGCAATGGCCTGGAGGGACAAATTCTTAAGTATACTTTATATCAGTCATACAGCTTAGTTTTACGGACTGGCATTCCTTTGCCATTAACATGTCACAACTGGTTTCAGCAAATTTCTCAATGGTAAGCAGTCGCAATAATAGCATCCCCTGTGGAATACTGGCTTGTTGTATAAGCACTCTATGAAGAACAACAACAACAACAAAAAAAGCCTTAGGAAGGCAATAGTATCTTTTCAATGTCACTAGTTTACAAGCAGCTTCCATGTATGAAATGAAGCCTGTGGTGCTACAAAACATCATTTTGAATTACACTAATGGTTGACTGAGAAAGTGATCATCTTGAACAGTACAAAATTTTCAAAATAAAAGAACAGTAACACTCTGATACAAAATAAAAAATTGTAACATGGCTATTATAAACTGTTTCTAATAAATGAGAACAAAGAAATGAGACAGGCCTTGCTTCAAATCTTACCTTTGCCCCCTATTTTATGATCTTTGGCAAGTTATTTCACTTTCTATGCCTCAACTTCCTCTTACAAGATTATTATAGAATTAAATGAGAAAACACATGCAAAACATTTAGCATTGTATCTGGTATACAGAAAATTTTTCAGTAAAAGTTGACTATTATTATTAAGCACATACTAAGTCCTTTACAGGTATTATCTCGTTTAATCCTTGACCTTTTATTCCCTTTTAGAAAGAGATGGAAAAACTGAGATTTGAAGAGGTTAAGCATTAAACCCAAAGTCATGAAGTAAAGAAACCCAAACTCAAAAAGCAATGAAGCAGGTTTCCGTTCTGTACTGCAGGCGGACTCCAGAGCCTGTGCTCTTAAGACTGCGTTGTATTGCCTCCTCCTAGGTGCTCTAGCATTGCTGTTGTTGAGCTTGTCAAATTACATTTAAAAACTTACACATTCTAGTTTGTCAAAACAAGAGACATCTTTAGAATAAAAATTAAAATCATTTCTAAAAAAATTAGAACTCTTAAGCAAGAAGCTTATAAAATTTAGGGATTTAGGGCTATATAACAGATCTTAATATTAAGCTAATGTCTTTCCTGCTTCTAATCTAGAGTTTTATAATCAATAGTACTCTGTTGAATTTCAGTATATAAACAAATAAAGCAGAGAAGCTTCGGTTGAAGCAAGAGTGAGGAGCTTGGAATCCCACCTATGAAAACTTAAGTCTCAAACCAGGACCCCAAGGAACACATCTGAAGGACACTGAGCTAATTCAGAGCCCTCATTTACAGAGAAGAAACATGTCACCTAGACAGTTTAAGTCACTTTTCAAAGTTACAGTGATACCTCAATTAATTTTAACACTACTTTTGTTGAAATTTATACTAGTGACTCTTAGGGGAAATAGGAAATCTATGTTAACTCTCTAGAGCGTTTTCAACAAATTTTATATTTGGAAAATTTTTAAATGAACAAACATATTTTTCATGCTAAAGTACAGAAACAGCATGAAGTTTTCGAAAAATTATGAGAGGCAGTAATTTTTAAAATTAAGAGGCCAGGCACAGTAGCTCATGCATGTAATCCCAGCACTTTGGGAAGCCAAGGAGGGCAGAGTCCTTGAGCCCAAGAGTTCAAAACCAGCTTGGGCAAAATGGGGAAATCTCATCTCTACTAAAAGTACAAAAATTAGCTGGGCATGGTAGAACACACCTGTAGTCCCAGCTACTCAGGAAGCTGAGGTGGCAGGATCACCTGAGCCCGGGAGGTGGAGTCTGCAGTAAGCTGAGATCATACCACCACACTCCAGCCTGGGCAACACAGCAAGACACTGTCTCAAAAATAATAATAACAATAAAATAAAATAAGATAAAATAAAATAAAATAAAGAAACACCAATTCATAAAGCCACTGTTCACAAGTAAACTTATTTTCATAGACTCTACATACCTTCCTTCCCTGTGTCATATCCAGTGTCAAATCAAGATAAACACTTTGCTTTGGACCAGTAAAGTCAAGAACTTGAAATTTCTTAAGTAAGTGAACAGCTTTCTCCACATCATATATCTGCCTCGGGTATAACCGTTTTAAATAGACATCATCCTCAGGTTCGCCTTCCATATAGGGATATGCTTTTATTTTTTCTATTTCATCTTTTTTCTCATCTGGTGTTTTTTCTTTAGCAACATTTTTTGTTTTCTTTGCAGACCTTAAAGGAAAATAAAGTTGAGTTAGGTCAATATACATTCTAAGAGACTTTTTTTAAAAAAGCCAATGAACATGAGAGAAAAAAAGGATGAATTATATTTTAATTCAAAAGCATAGATTGCTTTACAGTTTTTCTAATTCAACAAACATGAAGTGAACTTTTCTAATGTCTGAAGTTAAGAATAAGTTGAATTATGGCACTGACGCTGCTCTCCAGAAACTTACAGAAGAGTAGAGCAGAGAGACATACTAACAGGTCATTTCAATATTATGTAGTAATACAAGAGCATCATCAGAGCCTGACAGAAAAGACATTCAATCCAGCCTAGGAGGCTAGGGAAAAGTTATAGAGGAAATGACCCCAAAGTCAATTCTTAATGGATAAGGAAGTGTCAGCAACCCAAAGAAGTGAAAACATATGACACAAAATCTAGTACACAAATGCTCTTAGCAGCATTATTCATAACAGCCAAAAAGTAGAAACAACCCAAATATCTATCAACTGATGAATGGATACATAAAATGTGATATGTCCATATAACAGAACATTAATCAGCAATTAATAAAAGAATGAAATACTGATCAATGCTACAACATGCATGAACCCTAAAAACATTAAGCTAAGTGAAAGAAGCCAGTCACAAAAGCCCACATATTATTCCATTTACACCAAATATCAAGAATGGGCAAACCTGAGAGACTGAAAAGTAGATGTGGTGATTGTCTAGTGCTAGAAGAGGAGGTTAGGGCACAAGAAGTGAATGCTCACGGGCATGGGGTTTTTTGGGAGAGCAATGAAAATGCTCTAAAACTGATTACAGTGATGGCTGCACAACTGTAAGCGTACTAAAAACCAATGAACTGCATGCTTTAAATTGGTGAACTGTATGATATGTAATTATATTATAGCTTAATAAAGCTGTTATTTAAAAAATAAGAGTCAGGTAAAGAAACAACATAATAAAAAGTACTGAGGCATAAAATAAAATAGTGTAAGAAGGAAGCTATTATAAGTTCTACATGACTAGAGCAGGGTTGGCAAACTTTTTCTGTAAAGGACAGAGAGTAAACGTTTTAGCTTTGTAAGCCATATGTTCTCTGCTGCAATGACTCAACGCTGCCACTGTAGTGCAAATATAGTCGGTAAACAAGATTGGCTCACTCGCCAAAGTTTGCTGACTTCTGAACTAAAACGGTAAAAGAGAAGGCAGGCAAGAGTGGAAGATGAGATTAGAAAAGACAGCATAGGGGGCATCCTCTAGAGGTAATAAGAAGTCACTAAATAGGAGTGACATCTGTATTTTAGGCAGAGTATTCCGGCTGCAACATAAGAGATAGATCTGAAGGAAGTAGGACTGAAAACAATTGAGAGTCTGTTCCCTCCCTTTCTTTTCAGAGATATGAGAACCTGAACCAGAGTAGCAACAGTAATAAGACTGGAAAAGATGGCAGATTAGAGAATAATTGTCAAGCTAAATACTGGGCCAAGCACGAGGGCTCACGCCTGTAATTCCAGCACCTTGGGAGGCCAAGGAAGGAGGACTGTTTGAGGCCAGGAGTTCAACACCAGCCTGGGCAATATAGCAAGACCCTGCCTCTACCAAACTAAAAAAACTAGCTGGGCATGGTGGTACACACCTGTGGTCCCAGCTACTTAGGAGGCTGATTTGGAAGGATCACTTGGGCTCAGAAGTCTGAGACTGCAGTGAGCAATGATTATGCCAGTGCATTCCAGCTAGGTGACAAAGTGAGACCCTGTCTCAAAAAAATAAATAAATAAATATTGAAGATGGGAAAAGGAGAAAATGAGGACTCCAAAATACTTCCTAGGTATCTGGCTTGGGTGACTAGGCATAGAATAGAATCACTAACTAAGATCATAAATAAAGAAGGCAAAACAGGTTTCTGGTGAAGGAGGTAGTCACAGAGATTAGTTCAGTTTGGGGGATACAAAGTTTGAGTATGGGGTCAATTGTATCATTGGTCCCAATTCTTTACCTCCTTTCCATTCAAGCCCCTTGCTAAATGACTTTGCTGTTCCTCCCACTAAAGAGGAGGAGTATATTTCCCAGCCCCTTTATTTGGCCATGTGACTATTTTTGGCTGAGAGAATAAAGCAAAGATGACAGTTTCCCTGCTCTATGCTTAGGCCAAAAGAAGTTTCACATGTTTCTACTTTCGTGTTTGCATTTCTGCCATTTTCATTAGAAGAACATGCCTAGGCTAGCTCAAAGGTAGGAGGATGAGAAACATGTGTAACAGAGCTGCCTCCACAGAGCCCCAGGCTACATTAGACAATTCTCAGCTGACCTGCAAACTTACAGATGCACTGCAAGTCCAGCCAAGGTCATCAGAGACATCCATCAAACCCAGCCTATGTCAGCTGACCCATAGATATGTGGGCAATGATAAATAACTGGTTTGTTACATAGCAAAAGCTAACAAGGTGCTTACAAAATATCTAAGAAAATATATTCAACAGGTAATGGCAGATAAGAGTTTGAAGAAATTTCTCAGCATTAATTCAAATCATGCCTATACTCTTCTAACCATAAAAGTTTTAAATTAGTGTAATAGTATTCTGGAAAGATGTTCGGGTTCTGTGGTAGTCAGAATAATAATGCCTCAAAGAGACCCATATCCTAATTCCCAAATCTTGTAAATATATTACCTTACATGGCAAAAAAAGCAAAAACAAAAACAAAAAACCACGACCTTGCAGACAAGATAAGGTTAAAGACCTTGAGATGGAGAGTTATCTTAGATTATCTATGTTGGCCCAATCTAATCACATGAGTTCTTAAAAGTGAGAGTCTTTTCCCTTTCCCAACTACATCACACAGAGATGGGAAAATGACACCAGAGAAATTCAAGCAACCAACCATTGCTTTGAAGATGAAGGATGATGAGGGCCATAAGTTAAAGAATGTGGGTGGCCTCTTGAAGCTGGGGATTGCAAGGAAATGGATTATCCCCTAGAGGCTCCAGAAAAAAAAACTGCCAACACCTTGACTTTAGCCCAGTGAGATCCATGTCAGACTGCTCACCTACTGAACTGTGAAATGAAAAACTTGTGTAGTTTTAAGCCTCAAAGTTTCTGGTAATTTGTTGTGGCAGAGATGGTAATTTGTTATGGAAGAAAATGAATATGAGGTCCTATAAAATTGATGTGAAAGAGATGGATGACAATAAAACAATTTTTTTTAAAAAGACCTCAAAAACCAATTCAACGTATAATTCCATTCTCACTTTTAGTACTCAATAAATCCTTACTAACACCACTAATAATAGTACCCTCCCAGCTAATGAGCAATTCAACAGAATATTAGATAATGACAATGCTTATTTGTAATGGGGCACAGGTGTCCTTCTGGACTGATGACAAGTCTAAGCAAGTGACCAAGTAAATGGATACAACACATCTCAATAGCTACCTTGGAAGTACTCCACAAAATCCTGAAACCTTCCAAACTGGAGAAACCATATTTTTACTTTATATTTAGCAAAGCAGCAGAGAAGCCAACAGAAGGATTTTGGAGAGCCTGTTTTAGGAATAAATTCTCCTATTTAAAATAAACAAAATGTTCCAGCTGTAGCCTCCAGGCTTACTTTACATAAATGCAGAATTCGCCACTAAATTTTCAATCATAGTTGAACCTATACCTTTAATTTACAATTAATCTGATATTCCCCAAGGCTGAAATATGACTTTTTAAATTAGTAAGTATTTGCAAAACTCAATGAAAGTCTGCTGCATAAAGAGACTGAGTTGGGTATATTGCAATTTATTTATACTTTGGACGTTGTTTCACAAAATATTTAAAGTGGTTAAGTGAAAATATTTGTAAACACAAAAAAAGTGTAACATTGTAACATTGATCAAATAGGACTCTCAGGAAAATGCATTCTTAAAAAAAGAACTGCAATTTAACAAATTCCTTCCACAATAATCTAACAGACCTGTCGCCTGTTTTCCATGGCCTTCCAAATTGTATCTTTATTCGTAAGAATCACATTCAGAAGAACTTTGTTGTTCATGCAATTATATAAAGCTCTATCAGGAACACTTAAATACTGTGATTCTCAGAGAATACAATAAATCCTACTAGAAAGGTTTTTGGGAAGGTAGAGGACAAACACCTGGCAGTCTGAATCAAAGAGAATAGAACTTAGCTGTAGTTACCTAGGTAACTAAATCACACAGATTAAAAGAGTAATAAGAGACTGCACACAAGCAATAACTTTTTCCCTGCCTCATCTGTCTCCTAACTCCAAAAACATGAAATTCCACGGTTATGCCCATAAAATATGATTTTTTTTTTTTTTAAGATGGAGTCTCGTTCTGTTGCCAGGCTGGAGTGCAGTGGTGCCATCTGGGCTCACTGCAACGTCCACTTCCCGGGTTCAAGCATTTCTCCTGCCTCAGCCTCCCAAGTAGCTGGGACTACAGGCGCCTGCCACCACACCCAGCTCAGTTTTTCTTTTTTTTTTTTTTTTTTTTTTTGAGACGGAGTCTGGCTCTGTGGCCCAGGCTGGAGTGCAGTGGCCAGATCTCAGCTCACTGCAAGCTCCGCCTCCCGGGTTTACGCCATTCTCCTGCCTCAGCCTCCCGAGTAGCTGGGACTACAGGCGCCCGCCATCTCGCCCGGCTAGTTTTTGTATTTTTTTAGTAGAGATGGGGTTTCACCGGGTTAGCCAGGATGGTCTCGATCTCCTGACCTCGTGATCCGCCTGTCTCGGCCTCCCAAAGTGCTGGGATTACAGGCTTGAGCCACTGCGCCCGGCCAACAGCTCAGTTTTTCTATTTTTAGTAGAGACAGGGTTTCACCATGTTGGCCAGGATGGTCTCGAACCCCAGACCTTGTGATCTGCTCACCTCGGCCTCCCAAAGTGCTGGGCCTAAAATATGATTTTTAAAAATCAGAGATATAATAAAATTCACTTTAAGGCCTTTGAAAATCTGTGACCCCAACAGACCCATCCAAGTCTTTCCAAGGCTGA